ATCGAATGCGTTTGATCACGTCGCTCCCGCGCTAGCCAGCGTGCGGGCCTCGCTGCCCAACTTCACCCTTTTGCCTATCCCGACGCACCGCTGTATGTTTATGTTTGTCTTCATTAACAGACAGCTTGTGAAGAGAGGGCCGTTATCATCGGATGTATTCCCAAGTGCAGAGTACATGTTGCGCTGGCCTCTGTGTTGTACATCCGTGGCGGTTGACGAGAGGCGATGAAATGTGTGACGGGCGGCAATTAAAAAAGACGGTTACAGCCCGATAGCCGGCTCAATGTGCCACTTTTGGCACGGAGTCCCCTTTTTAAAAGCGCTAGATGACCTATTGCGCGACCCACCCCATTTCTCCGCCTTTTCCTTCACACTTCCCCATCAGTCTCGAGCTTGCAGCCATGATTCAGTGCTGTTTTTAATCTTGCTCGGCCTCAGCGGGGTCGAAAAGCTCCGGGATTGGCGCCGTGCCCAGATGACCGGCGGTAATATGGAAATGGATGGATGCAACCCCACTCACTGCCCCCCACGGACCCGCTCGCTTACTCACACCAAGGCATATCCGTACATTAGCTCACAGATACAGACCGTCGAGTTAATTTGCAACTGGAGCAATTTCATCTAAAAGTATCCTATTTCCATGGAGCAATTTTGTACCCCATTACGCTGCCCCTGCAGATGCGCAAGTCTTACTCACGCAAACAAATGGTGCCGTGGCACCAGGCAGGGCTATGAGGAAGTCACATCTCATTGATGGTCCGCACTTATGATCAGTTTTTTTTAAAAGAATATTTCACTTTGTTTTTCTTTTTCTACTGTGTGCTGTGTTCACCACCCCAACCCTGCAGATGCGCAAGTCTTACTCAATGCAAACAAATGGTGCCGTGGCACCAGGCAGTGCTACGAGGAAGTCACATCTCATTGATGGTCCGCACTTATGATCATTTTTTTTTTCAAGAATATTCGACTTTGTTTTTCTTTTTCTACTGTGTGCTGTGTTCAATGAGTTCTCTGATTTGTTACAAGTCGACATTGCTTTTTGTGTTGTTATTCAAGTCACGTTTGTTGAGTGAAAGTTTTTACACATTGAGTTGATAGCAAGTGCTTGTTTTTTTTGTTTTTTTTTTTGTGCGGCAATGTACAGGACTGAATACGGCTTCACCAATGCTCCCGCCATACTGTGTGGCAGAACTGCATTAAAAGAAAAGCCCAAATCCACCTATCACACATGTAGCATAAAAGTCGAGCTGACGTTAAGGTCCACCTAAGTGCTGATGGTTCTTGAAGCGAAAGTGACGTGGAGCTGCAGATTGCCACAGTTCGTAATGGCCCCCGTCACACATGTAGCATAAAAGTCGAGCTGACGTTAAGCTAGTTCTGAACTACACTGCTAGCTAGCTCTAAACAATAGCATGTAATACGGTAACCGGGGTTTTTTTTCTTCTTCAGAGTATGGTTATTATGGAGTTTAATAAAAGAGGGGAAAACTACCTGTACTTTAGTACTTAAGTAAATGCCAAAGTTTGTACTTTTTTTCCCTCCCTTAGGTACAGGAGCTGAATCAGTATGCTGTTAGTGTTGTCAAGCATTAGCATCCTATTCCACAGAGCTTGGACTGCCATCGTCTTGATTTGTTTTGACAGCTGGCAAGAGTTTGAAAGTACTACCATCACATACAGGAAGTGGAACAGCAATGTTTCAAATATACAATGTGAGCCGTCAAATGGTGGCTCGCAGTCCGTCCGGCTAGTGTGAGCACATCTTAGTTCGTTTTGACTTTAGGTTACAAGCTAATACCTCATAAAGCGTGGGGTGGAATTTAATGAACTTGTATAGAACCGTATTGTGCAGTGTGTGTGGCACAAGATCATCAATTTTCCCTTCAAATGAAAATGATTTACTGGCAACAAATAATTCATCTTTTCATTTTGTGATGTCAGTGACATTTAGCGACAGGCGCAACAACAAAATCTTGTTCAACTAGATGGCAGAAGGTACATCATGAACCTGTGTATCCAGTTCCTCTGACAATTTTTTAAAATGTAAAATATATGTCGTGGCTCTTTCAAAGCAAACATAGGTATCATGTACTGTAAATGAATTTTAAGGAGTCTGTTTGGAGCGCTGCGTCCCACTATGTTTGTCCAAATAATGTCAATTTACCACAGCTGCATTTGACCTGTGATAGTATTTGAAAAGTTTGCTCGTAATAAAGATACAAAGGGTTGCGGCGTTCAATTACGTTCAAATTTCTAATCACGCAGCTTCGTGTTTCCACTCAACAGTTCATTTAGTTCCAAAGTGCAAAGTTTACCTTCTTCTCTGCTCTTCCTCACCCACACCCGCCGTAATTTGTCTGCCCACTGGTTTCACTTATTAACTTTCAAAAGGTTTCTGGGCAACGTGGCTGGAGAAAGGGAAAATAAGGCACCATGGCATTTTTTTGGCACACAGTTCGGTCTGTCTTGCCCAGAACGAGGTTACCATGGCATCGGCGGGCACCTCATAAAGCAGACCATTGTTGGCTCTCCTGCGTGTTTGTGTGTGTGTGTGTGCGTGTGTGCCAGATAGAGTTGCATGGCAACAACTTCTGGGCATCACCACCAATAGCAAGAATCCCAACTCCCGCACAGGGCACAGTCAGACATCAACACACGTTAGATTATCTCTGTTTGGATAACCTGTCTGCTCAAACATTCTATTTTCGGACCATGACCAATCATTCCCAAAAACACACACACAAAAAAAAAAAAAAAAAAAAAACAACAAACAAAAAAAAAGAATTTGTTAGCAAATGAGGAAAGACTTGGTGTGACATGATTTAAGTGTACACCGATTTTCTCTCGGGCTCAACAAATAACTGAAAGACAACACATGCGACAAACATGGTCACCACAATTAGCAAAGCAGGCCACGAAAAAATAACCTTGGGGAAGAAAACCGAATCCTTTTCTTTCCATTTATTGAACTCGTCGAATCCATTAGCGGGGAAAAGGAGTCACGCATGTTTATTTGTAATTGTTTCAATTCCAAATATTGGAGGCCATTCCGCCAAGTTGGCTTGCATGCAAATCTGAGTACAACTTGTGTTTACAGCGGGGGGCAAATGCGTCGGTGACAACAAAAGTGTTCAATCCGACTTGCTGCAACCTTTGTGTTGGCTTTTGGTTTGAGCGTGTGCAGTCTTGCTGCAAGGAGCAAAGGCCAAACATGTGGGTGCTCTGCTACACTCTGCTGGTACCTTTTGGAACATTCACGCAGTCACGCGCCCTTTTTTTTTTTTAAACACAATTTAATCTTGTCATGGGAAAACAAAACACAGCCTTAACAGATGGATAACTAATGAATGACCTCTGATGATTCATGAGAGCTTCATGAAATTAATTACATAGACATGGAGCCATTGTGGCTGTATGATTAGTTTACATGTAATGAATAATCAATCAATGATAATTAAAGCACACTTCGACGACACATTCATAATCTCACAAAATTAACCGGAATACGGTTATGGAAAGACACGGGTCCTCGTAGGGTTTCAAATGAAGTTAAGGTTGAGCAACACATCTTAAATCTTAAAATCGATCAAAACAAACGAAACCACCAAAAACAAATGATGGAAAGAATGCGAAACTCTTTCATCCAAAGTCACCCTCATGAGGACCAGTGCCACAGAAAATGTAAACATTTCCAATAAAATGGCCGCCAACTCCGATGCATAATGCAGTAGGAATATTTATAGATGTAAAAACATGTAATATGGTATAACCACATCAATTACAAATACGTGTATATGAATAAAAAAAAATTTTATAAGACAAGAAAAAAAAACCTGTAGCGTTCCTACTTCATCTCTGAAAACATTCCGTGAGCAAACGTTACCCGCCGTAGGCACCTGCCAGTGCCCCCGACGTTCAGGAGACTCCCTTTTCGAAATTGAGAGACCATTTCAGCCCGCACAGACGGCGACATTTGCTCCCGTTTACCAGACGTGTTTTCGGACCGCGTGCGCCGCGCCACAGGAAGTGCAACCATGTACGCGTCGATCAATCGTGTTGCTAAGCAATGGAGGGGACTCTTGCGCTGTACATTTTGTCGATAAGCAAGGTCGTGGCGGCAATTAGCTTCCCACGGTTCGTCGTCACAAATGCCTTTTCTTCATTTTGTGGGGAAAATCTGGTCGTGATAATGAAGTTTACGTTCTAAAGGCACTGGTTGGAAGCACAACGGTCAAATGGAAACTGAATGACGGCAAATCGGGACTTGGAAGTGTGAACGTGATAGCGGTGAAAACGTCAACGGAGTACGATGAAACGAGGTTCGACTGTAATATGAAAGACAGCGAGTGCCGCGGTCTTGAAACGTTTCCCGCATTCCAGCTGCCTGTATGGAAGCAGTTACCTGGAAGAGATGCCTTTGCTTGCCAAATAAAAGCCATCTTTAACCCGGCCCGGTTTGATTGCCGTGTGTGAACGTATGCATGATACCTTGGTTCTGGGCTGTTGTGGAGCATGTGCCCCCAACAGATTAACACTTGAAATGAGGCTCTTTTGGGTCGTGAATGCCCCCTCTGTTTGCTTACGCCACCCTGGTGGGACAAAGTGGACGCATTTAAAAGAGGTTGTTTTTGTATCCTCTCCTCTTCAGAGGGGCGCATCCTATTATGTCTGAAAAGCTCAAGGAAGGCATCGTCACAAAAGGTTAAAACCTGAGAGCGTCTTATTTTGGCATCATATGAACTATAGGCTTTTTCCCCTCTTTTTCTAAAGTCGTGGAAAATGGCTCCAAACAGATTTGAAAGTAAAACAGGTGCCAGCTCAGCCATCTGCTTTCAGTTTTACCTCCCTCTCCGTTTGCTTACAGGCAATCTTTGAATGATCCCAATTCATCCTGCTCTTATTTTCCACTTTCCACCAATCAGACCAGTGTGACACGATCACGCACCCTTTAAGTCCCAGAAAAAAAAAGTGTCCAAAAAAAAAAAAAAGAAGGATCTTAACTGTAGGTATGACATCTTTATAGGACGTTGGTGATTAACTGTGGTGGCAGATGGATTGACGAAGTGGCCAAAAAAAGTCCAAGTCCAAGGGGGAAAAGGGTCAAGGAGTTCCAGAACGAGACTTTGAAGGGGCTGCCAAGAAGATCAGCTCAGGCCTCATCATCCCTTCCTGCTCTTTATAGCCATAGGAGCCTAGTTTTCCACAGCAACCTAGCTGAACACACACGCTGAAATCAATATTAGCATAGGACACCATAATTCCTTTACAACTACTGAATGACCGCAAAATATATTTTGAATATGATTTGATTGGCCTAGTCCAATTTATTATCGCATTGTCGCCTCCCAGTTCAATGTCAACTCAATCATCTTCAAAATAATTATGATGATCATGCTGCATTAATTATCCATACACGAAAAAAAATGTACTGAATTGATTCTGTTTTATTTTTGAGTGTTTGCACAAAATAAAATCATCTGGATCCAGGCACACTTATTGAGTAGACGACATCTATTTAAAAAAACGGATGATACTATTGTGTGCAAATACATGACAAAAATCAAATTACCGGTAAGTAAATTCAGCACCTCTTTTTTTTTTTTTTTTGTGTAGGATACACAATAATTGTAACCATTTTGAATGTGGTGAAAAAAAGATACAGAAATATGATAACATAATATTACATAGTGTCAAAAGAGAAAATACACCCATTTTAAGCAATTCATATTTACTTTCAGTAAATATTTTTTATTATGTGAAACAAGTCAACCGACTTCAACGTCTAGAGAAAAAAAATATTCAAAAAAAAAACGAAGATGTTATTGTCCTTGAGAAGTCCATTCAATTCCATATCACCTCTTACAATTCCATTTCATGAGTTGGATTAGATTATGGAGACGCTTCATGCTATAGTAGTAGATCGTCGTCGGATGGTACTATTTGTTTTCCATTTCAAATTTCAGTGAACAGAAATGACATCTTGCGACAAAATGATTGCAGTTTCACGGCAGGCTTCTTTTCGTCCTTGAGGCAAAGTGACTGCAAAGCACTTCCTTTGTGTAGTGAGATCTTACTCAATAGAACAGCGGGATATTGGACATATTTGGTCCTGAATTTATCCGCATCTCCAATTTTCATAGGCAACTGTAACTGACTCGAAGCGTAACAAGGAACGCAACACAAGTAAATGTCAAGTCCTGGAACAGCTCCAGAAAAAAAAAAACACACACATTGAATCCCAAACTAAGTTGCTGAGTGTGCATAAAAATGAAAACATACTGTTAGCTGGTCTCTCTGCATCTTCCTCCGCAAAAATCGCGGCCAGGCCTCATTTCAAAGTGCGGCAGCGCCAGAGCCGGCTCGCTCGCACGGACCTTTAAAACCCGGTGGTGCTGGGATGAGCCGACTTCTGTGGAACCCATTAGAACAAAGATATATTTGAACAGAGCGGAAGAAAAAGCAAAAAAAGTCGGCGACAAATAGCAAGCGTTGGGGTGGGAGCGGGGGTCCTTTCCAAGGCTCGGAACTTGTCTTTAGCCTGACAAGCGGAGGCGGTTAAAGGTTGTAAAGAGTTGTTGAGACTGGAGTTTCAGACTCTTCGAGCATGCAGGTGCTCTTTTCAATGGATGGTCTGCTGCGCCAGACACTTTTTGGCTCGTGCTGAATGCTCTCAGGGTGTTTGTTTGCCTTCTTTTTTTTTTTTTTGTGTACACTCTGTATATGGCGGCTTGGTACCAAACACTCTAAAATAGTGTCTCTATCATTTTTCTTTCACGCTGAGGCAGCATTGAAATCTTTTCTTCTGTTTTGGCGTGCAATCTTTCGGCGTATTTGGTGCACATCCATCAGTGTGTCAGAGGGTTGTGCCGGGCAACGGTGGCGTGTGGTCAGCGCCCGCTTGTAGACACTACTAGCATCCTTACGAATTCAGCCCCAGCAGATGGTGCGGAGCTTCATGTACGCGGATGTGTTTTTGTGCTTAAGTGTCGGGTCCACTTCATTGGAGCGGCAGCTGTGGCAAAGCGGCATCCAGCTTCATGCCAGTAACAAAAAGAACTCACCGGTGTGAAAGATCAGAATGTTGCAAAGCTTTGAGGAGAAAAGAAAAAAAGCACAACACAAACCGGTCATTTCAGCAGTGTGTAATACTGCCGATTATATCAGAGCGCGATTTACTACAACAAAATGTTCATTGTACAGCAGCTCAGCACCCGATGGAATATATTGAACAGCTCTTGAGAACTACACTGGTGAATAATATACATGGACAGCTTGTAGCAAAACAGTCCACTGGCTAGCAATTCTTGGAGGCTGAACGTACGACAAAAGCATGAGGGTGCAACTAACTGCGAATGAAAATGGAAGAAATTATGGAGCTCCGATTCAATGGAAATAAGGGCGGTACACCAACCGAAACAAAATTACAAAGACATGCAAACTAAGCCAAGAATAGCACTGAGCTTCTTTTGTTAAGGACACACTGCATAAACATAAACTCCCTTCACAATCCCCCCCCCACCCCCCTCCAAAAAGTATTTAAGTTTCCTGTGGTCTTGTGGATGCATAAGTCAACAGCCACACTCAGCATCATGTAACACAGGGGGTGTCCAAACTTTTACGTTTGCGGGCCGCATACAGAAAAACGGAAGGGCCACCTCAAAATTTACCAATTTTTTGAAATGCACTCAAGTCAGTCCAGAAAGCAATTTGAGATCGTTTGTGCTGTCGAGTTCATTTCATCAGCTTTGCCTTCGAGGTGTTAAGGCAAAGAATTGATCATTCAAAATCCAGAACCTCAGAACTTTGAGGTAGGCATACTAACCACTGCCCCAATCCAGTAGTATCACCCTGAATTTGTGAAATACATAAAATATGCTAAAATGTCAACTCCAAACTCATATGCAAACGGTGCGTATTGAAAAAACAGGATTGAGCGAAGAGCCCTTTTTTTGGCAGAAGGCTTAGCAACGAAAGCAGGAACAAGTGGAAAGAAGCTACCAAGCCGAGACACGACCAACTCAGGGCAAATGATAATTCGGCTCTCGGATGACACGGTGACAACATTGCCGGAGGATGCAACGATGTATCTAATATGGCTCTGCAATCCAAGTGATTCACCACGACGCCATCCGTCTAATTGGTTTTGTTCTGGTGAATCACTCCAGGTTCCCTTAATAGAAAAAGCAAACATACTGCTTTAACATCGGGTGACAAGGGCACCTTGGGTGTGCAGATGTTCACGCAGATGACAGATGGCGGTGGCATGGCGAAGGGAGGAACGGAAGGATTTCCACGCCAGGCTGGTGCCACATGCACCCCTTAACTCTTAATTTCCCCCGTTGTAGTCAACAGCCACCCACCCCACCCCACCGACGTAAAGTCCCCATACAGAGGGTTGTGCGATGTCTTTATCTGTGTGATGCAAACATACGGTGACTCAGCACCTGGTGGTCAGGAAAGTCATTTTGTCGAAAAAAAACAACATGACGAGCCCACAGGAAGCTCCTTGTATGACAAGACGACAAGCCAATGAATATATCCATCCACCCATCCGTTTTCTGATCCGCTTCTCCTCAGAAGGGTCACGGGCATGCTGAAGCCTATCCCGGCTGTCTTCGGACAGTACGCGGGATAGTCCCTGAACCGCTCGCCAGACGATCGCAGGGCACACATAGACGAACAACCGTCCACGCTCACAATCACATCCAGGGACGACACACCTGAGGGGAGAACATGCAAACTCCACAGAGGAAGGCCGGAGCCCGAATTTGAACCCCTGACCTCTGCACTGTGAGGCCGACGTGCTTAACCAGTTGAACACACCTGATAATAAATGTTAAATATCATCTTGCTTATCGTCTCAATCAAAAGTCTGTATTGAAGGTCGTTTCATGGGGTATGTCAAGTGTCTGACAGCCCCTTTGCTTCACTCTCGTCTGCTGGCTTTTCTCCCTCTGGGCAAACCACTTCACTCAAGCAAGAATCACTTGAAAAACACTATTGGTTGTCCTTGGATAAAATAACGGACTGAATGATGAAAGAGGAAACAATAAGTCAAGTAAGAAAAGAGAGGAATAAGTACCACAAGATTTAAATCTACTCTAATCATAAGCATTGAGATCAAACCTCTACGGTTTGTTTACTTGTCACACTGTCAGCTGACAATTACCAACGTTGATGGCTTGAGCTGGTTGATGATAGCCCCCTGGTGGACAAAAGACCAAATATTAAGATTGCTTCCTTGGTGCACATCATGATGTTGGGAAAATGGGCTCACAACTCTAAAAAAGGGATTTACATTAAAGTTGTCTAAATCGAGGGTCTGAGCTGTTTGTCTGAGTTTGTTATGCACGGTGTTCACAGAAGTAAAAAAAACAAAACAAAAAAACATTCATGTCAAGATTTGTTTTTAAACTGAAATAAGAAACTTTTGAATAATAATAAAAAAATTCATAATAATAGTAACAATAATAAATGTTTGAAATGTGAAATCTTAACATCCTGAAGAGGATGAACATTTTTAATTCAGCTCAATGGAATACTCGAAAGAACTATGAGAGATCGTTAGAGGACAAATAAAGGGCGCGATAACAATGTACACTGAATTTTATGGTAGAATATTACGCTTCAATATTCACACATTGAGATCGAAAACAGGTACTTTGTCAATGCCATAAAAAAGTACCACATAAAAAAAATAAATAAATTACTAATAGAATGCAATGGAGTGCTACACACAATAATAACCTTCATGTGATTAACCAACATTCATTCTGTCAATTATTTAATAGCTAGCGAGCAAGCTATATATATATATATATATATATATATATATATATATATATATATATAAAATATTAGGAGTGTGTCACGAATGTTACAAAACATAATAATAATAATAATCACAATCCTGAAATACAACACTGCACTGGAACAGATGTGTTCTGCTATTTGTGCAGCATTTTTCCTCAAATGCATAACAAAAACATTGTGTTGAAAGAGTTCAGCAATTGGGGACAATTCATCAGAGGAAATAGTTTAAAGAAGAATAAAAAAAAGTCTGCATTTTATGCAGACAGTGCAATCGAGGCTGGATGCCCAGGAAGCCGGAGAGAAGAAGAGCGTTGTTCGGACCAGGTAGAGAAGATAATTACCTTCATTCATCTTCACGGCACCCCGGCATTGTTTTCTGATGGGGGCAGGTGAGGACAGGCCCACTTTGATGAATTTCCCCTTGAATTAGCGGTCACCAGCGGATCTCGAGCCTCCGTCACTCTGCGTGCTCTCATTCATCATCTCATTAGGACCCTGCGCTGGGCTGCATGGGTCTGTGGATTCCTAGGGACAAAGGGGAAACTATTAGCTCCATAATCACTGTTTACTATTCTCTCTCGTTGGCCAAATATCGGTTCTTTCATTACATTCTGTTCAATTCCCGAAGCCACTGGATCATTCAAAAGCTAAAATGGTCATGCAGGAGGATACAGTATCATTAGCAGAGAGTTATTTCATTTCCACGGAAATCTAAATTGTCTCTATCGTGGCGAAACCAAAAACCAAATGTGTGCGGATACTTACGATACTGTTTCCGCTTATGGCGTTTACAAATAAAGTCGGCTCCAAATAATTACAAAATAAAAATAAAATAGGTGCTTAGGTTAACATCAAAAACAGTAAGAACAGTTTTCTGAACAATACATGTCCTCAACACTGAACTTGCTTCGGATAAATTATTTTTTTTTTAAAAAGCCCCTTGAATCGGAGTGCTGTAAGTTAGCACTTCAGAAATAACACTGTTCATCATTGCTAAATAAAGTGCTGAAATAAACATCAATCACTTCTAGGAGGCTACAGAGGACACAGCAGCTATGCTGACTTCATGCCTCGAACCCCTCGAGTTTATTACGAACGCTTTGGGTGCTAACGTTAGCTGTTGCTGCAATCGCGGCTGGGTGCTTTGCATTGATGTGGTAGGCTAAATTTGAGCTGCTTCGGTGGTAAGCAAACTTCACAAATTAGGCACAACACTCTACCTTTATCAATAATGCCGTCAGGGCGTTTTTGGAATGTACATTTTCCATTCACTGGATCGAGAACTCTCACATGCTCCGACATTTCCACCTTTCCTTTTCTCACCACTGCTTACTTAGCCCGCCCAACTGCAATAGGAGCCTATCATTTTATGCTAAACAAGCCAAATATTATGACAGCCAATCAATGTCCGCTTCAAGCTGTGACTGACAGTTGTTTCCACACCCTTAACAACTCGAACACAGGAAGCCAACACATAAAAAGGGATATTAGAAAAAGGCAACCCACCTACAGAAACAATAAAGTTAGAAATTAAAATGTAGATTAACGCGATTAAAAACAGGACGCGCTAAATATGACCGTAATTAATCATCCGCAATTAACGCGATCATTTGACACCTCTATGTATAACTCCCCAAAATGTGTTCAACACCGCACACCAACCTCCTACTTAAGCACCCAGAAATAGATTTGTCATTTTGCCACTCTCCTCTCCTGTCTAACTGCTAAGGAGCCTTTTTGCCTTTGACTGACATTGATATGATCCCCTTAAGCTCCAAACCTGGCAAGGGCTCACTCTTAAAACAAATTAAGCCCATGTCACATCCACCTCCAGCTTCCCGCTCTACCCAGACCCAAGGAGCCTTAAATCTTTAATGGAGCTTTTTAAAAACTATTTTATTTGTTTGCTCCCAGGACACAAAAATGATGACGGCTGCGTCGCTAAGAGCAGATCAAAGTTTTCAGGGAAGTGTCGTCTCAAAGTAGAAAGTGGAGCAGAGAGAGCAGAGAGGGAATAACCAAGATCTTGGACTCACATCTCGACAGCTATTTGTTTCAAATTGAAAACATCAGTTGTGAGAGTCCAACACTGCTTTCCCCTACTTCATTTGACCCTTAAATTGCAGAACATTTGACCTCTACCCACTAACTAAACCCTGCTGATTTATTTTAATTTATACACAGCCACAACGAGTAGGATACCATGTTAAAGGCTTCTTCTCTTTGATTTAATTGAGGGCTTCAGGCCTCAGAGATTCAAGCAAAAATGTTCTCCTTTTTTTTTTTTTGCTGGCCCAATCATTTTTCCCAGCAGGGAAGGCCCAACCATTGGTCACTTTTTTGTACCCAGAGGGTTTTCCCCACATGTTTTCATGTAAAAAAAAATACATTGACAGCTGAGAATTCATTAATTTTCCGTTTACTTTTGAAATGTTTAAATAATTCAAGATACTAAAATAATAATCATACAACAGAGCACATAATGTAAAAACATACTTTTATCGTAACGACTTCTCCTACGTAAGCCTTGATGTTAGAAGCGGTTCTATACTATAATTTTCACTCTATCATCGCATCCAATTCAATCAATTTCATGTTGGAGAAAATCTGGAACGTCTTTTGGTAATTATTTTATTTGTATTTATGAAACTTAATAGATTAAAATATCAGGGAAAACATATCTGTTACACGACGTAACCACTTTTCCTTTTGAGATCAATTATTTCGTAAGATTTCATATCATATGTGATGTCCTGCTGTCGGCAATATACTAATGTCGTGAAAAATGTCTGCGGAGACAGGCACTTTCTGAGCCACCTATCAGGGGTCCTTTTTGAGGTTCAAGGAAAATGGCCGCGTCCGTTCTCTGTAGGAGGACGCTGGTGGGCTGTCACACATTTAAGTGGATTTCAACACCAAAAACGTTAAATTCTGCGAGCTATCCGAGCGGGACTCTACTGCAGACGGCGTCTTATAATCCCAAACCCCTGAAACTGAATATTCGCGATCCTTATATTCCAGACAAGAGCCGGAACGATACGCCGGACTGGCAGAAGACAGGCAAATACGATGGGAAGCTGTACGGTCGCTACGGCTCGAGGTCCGGCATCGACCCTGCCTCGCTGTGGCCCAGCCACACAGAGCTGGACAAGATAATCGCAGAGGAAAATGAGTGGCATCCTCCGCTAGAGGTCATGTTGAAGAATATCGCGGCCAAACAAAAGGAAGAGGCTGAAAAACGCATGGCAAAGTGAGTGATGCTCACGTCGCTAGGGCATTACTTCTATTATCGGACAAACGCGAAACGCAGTCCTTGACATTGATTGTTTCCTTCTGTCGCTAGAATTGAAAGATTGTAATATCTGCATAACGCATACTGTATGAACCAACGCTGCTTGTAAACATTACTTAGGGGACTGCCGCAGTTCATCCAACAGTTGATACACTTACCTCTCTGAGACAGCGTGGTTGACTGTCAATAAAAATGATGAGCTCCAGTAACATTTGTTATAATGATACTTTCTATTCCCGTCACAGGGAGAAGCTCATCGCAGAAAACATGGCCAAAATGCCCAAGATGATCGCCGACTGGCGCAGAGAGAAGCGTGAAACGAAACAGAAGCTCAAAGAGGAGAAGGCACGTCGTGACAAGTTGTTGGCTGAGGCCAGAGAGCGTTTTGGCTACTCAGTGGACCCGCGCAGCCCCAAATTCGTGGAAATGGTTGCCGAAATTGAGAAGGAGGAGAAGAAAAAGAAGAAACTACTGAAACGCAGACTGAGAGAAGAGCAGGCGGGAGTCCCTGTCACTCCTCCAGTTACGTCCTCGTAAATTTGGACTCAGTCAATATAAATACATTTTAGCCTTATCTGCTTAGTCATCCCAATTAAGTGCTCATTTTGTTTTCTAATGCTATCTGGTATTACAAGAGCTCAATTTTCTCAGTTGAGAAGGTAATTTCAAAAGTTGATTGTCCTTCCTTGTCAAACTGTCATTGTAATAAATATTTCCGTTCAGACCGCGTTTTGTTTTAAAGAAAGATGCAGAGTATTACAAAGAGGCAATAGCCCACAACATACTGGATGCAAGTTTCCTTGCTGGTGACTGTCAAGGTGTCCCTCAACTCAACTGTACCTGTGGAGCACTTTAAAATAACCACCGCTGTTTCACAAAACATTTCCACTGCGCAGTATTGCAATTGTCACCACAGCTTTTTAGTTTCCCTTTTGAGGCTATAACACATTTTGACCTCAGATGATGTCAATGTTCCATACGTCTCTGCTCTTAACCACCAAAATAATGCAGTTACACTAAATGTCATTTAGAGTGGCTTTAATCAACGCTTGAGGCAGATTAAACATGGTCCAAACAATGGAACGTCTTTATACACATATTTTATAAAAGCGAAGTTCTATTCAAAACTATACAACCTTTTTTCTACTGTTTGACACCAATGGGGTCTTACTTTTCTCAAATGTCAAAAAAAGACAACCCCAATATAAGTCCAGCATTCAGTTGATGAAACTGCGCATTGGCTAAATCTACCAAAGTGTCTCGATGACAGCACTTGAAGAGTGCCTTCGGTGATAAAATGTCTCTCTCCCTATGGATGAGTTTGGTCTTCGTCGACAGAGCCCGCCTTCAGTTTGGCCAGAGCGGCATGGATCCTGAACTGCGTACGAGATTCCATCGAGTATTCTTTGTAGTTGTTTCTAGAAGTCAAAACAAGGACTGTCAAGGGCAAACATGGCACTCATGGCTTATCGGAAATTTCAATCAACTACCAATAAATTACAGTTTGAACTTTTAAATCCTCCCTGCCAAAAAAAAACAACAAAAAAAAACTGATTTTGTAGTGGACCTTCCTTCTGAAGGAGTAGTTCTCAAACTTTTAAAACCAAGTCCCACCTCCCCCCAAAAAATACCCGGCTCTCCACACCCCGCCTTTATGACAATGTTAAAACACAATCGTCTAGAAGGCGCGAGTGTTCTTCAAAAATGAGCCCAAGGTTTATTCCATTTAACATTATTATAAACCACGCTAACATGTACAGTTTAAGCATTGACACTGCGCTTAAATATAGGGAAGTCAAAAAAAATTACTGAAATAATTCAATGAATGTATATTTCACATAAAAGTGCAAGAACAGTTGTCCCTACAAAATGTTTGGAAAACTGGACTGTATTAAAATAATAATGATGACAAGTCTTCTTTTTTTTTTGGCATACCACTAGAGGTACCCGTAGCACACTTGAAGAAGCACTCATCTGAAAAGCGGTGCGCTTGGGAGGATATCGGTGTCACCAAGCGCTCACTTCATCAAATGGGAGTCACTTACTTGGCCTTGTGGAGCAGCTTGATGGCCTCGTCCCGTCGGCCTCGTTCAATGAAGAGGAGACTGAGCTCCACCATGGAATTGGGAATGAGGTAGTGGTCGAACCTGAGCTTCTTCTCACTGAACAAACAAACAACGTTCTGCTGTGTTTTAGATTCATTTAAAGGTAGCAATCCGAAGGCGTTCCTTTCGAGTGGCCCGGCGGCACTTGATTCAAGTGCACCAGGTTCACCGCGCATCTCAAATGATCACAATTGATTGCTGGAGCGTCTCAGGCTGGCTCGAGGCAAGTCTCTTTGTGCCATCCGTAGTCTGCGGCCAGTTTTCCACTGTACCGTTTGTTATTCCGTTCACGACGGAGATTAAAATAGCCGTCTGGTTACGGCCGTCTGGTTTCTCGTTGTGTGGTGAGGGCGAGTTAATGAGCGGCACATGAAAGGAATGTCACAAGCGCTCACCTCGAACAAACTTTATGAAAGCATTCCTCGGCGCCCTGGAGGAGCCCCTGGTTTTTCAAGCACATTCCCTTCAGCAGGTGGACGACACAACGGTCATCCAGGGAATACTCGTTCTCTACGGAGGTGCAAGCAGACGGACGGCATCCCGTGTCACATTTTGCGTGCGTTGCGCTTCATTCGCTCAAAGGGCGCATCTGAGGACCTGGAGACTCCAACAGTGTGCGCTCTGCCTCCACGAGAGTCTGGATGATGCCTTCGGTCAGCTCCGGTCGGTTTTTGATCATACTAAAACCGTTCCACATGTACATCATCTCCTGGAATCAAGCAAGGGGGATCAATGTCGAGGGCTTTTTCGGTCTGACTTCCAGAAGACGTCGAGTTTGAAGTCTTACCAGCACTGGCACCGAGAGCCTCACGGGGCAGTGGGCTTTGTAGCGGCGAGCTTTGCGGATGGCAAACTTCTCTGTGGGGGGAGACTTGCCTGCTATCTTCTGCTTGAAGAGAGGCACTTGTCTAAACAGAAGGGGGCAGCAAGGGGGGGGGGCACAAGTCATGCGTTTGAGCAAATGCATGACCAAATCTCATCAATAACCAGTCGAGATCATCTATGGCGCAAAAGAGAGACTCGTGATGAGCATTCGTACGCCCCGTCCAATATCGAGTATCGCGCTTCATCACTTGTAATATTGCGTAAATCAACAGCAGTTGTTTATGAAAATTCTCATCATGAATAAATAACGCCGTGGCACCGCTGATCATCTCTCCCACGTCACGACACACTTTGTGTGTGGAGAGGCAACCTGGTTGGGAATGACCAACCTGAAGAGATCCACCTCATCCTCTCCAAAGGGACGTTCCTCTTCCCTCGGCAGCATGCTGAGATAAGCGGCTTTCATGTAGATGTACATAGCCTAGGGGGAAATAAAATGGAGATGGATATTGGATTTCGGGGGGGGGGGGTATTTTGTGTGTGTGTGTATATATATATACACACAAAATTGGCGTCCCTTCGTGAGTGTGAATGGTTGTTCATCTATGCGTACATTTACAATACATTTCGGGTCGCATGAAGCCATCTCAGATTAAACATTTGCCAAGTTGACAAAGTGTGATTGTGAAAAATCATGAAGTGCTCAGTGTCTTCACATCAATGAATATTCTTAATTATTAACAACAACAGAATACATATACCACGTTGAAATGTAATCGGAGTACATTTATTATTCCCGAGGTGTGTATGAAAGTGGTGCCCCAAGTAGCAGAACAGGACAAGAGCAGCAATGGTCTTTTCTCGTGCGCACCTTGGACCAGCGGCTTTCCTTGCTGAGTAGGTCTGCATAGAAATAGGCCATTTTCCATGCTCGCTTATACGTGAAGCACCACATCAACTCCCAGTAGCACATGTGATGGAACTGCTTCCACGCTTGCTGGGCCTTGCAGCCATCTTCAAATAGAGCCACCGCCTGGTGACACAATCAGAAAGACCCTCAAAGCATGCAAAAGCCAGAATACATTTGACCAATTTCGAAATTCAAGTTCGCCATGCGGGCCGACGGACAAAAAGCCTTTTTAATTCATCTCATATGGGGATGCGGGAGTACCCGGAGAAAAGCCACATGAGCACGGGGCGGGAACATGCCAAGACAAGAAGCCAAGGCTGGCATTTTCATCAAATTGCTCCTGACTGAGAAGGTGTGCACCCAATGCGGTTGAGGAGCGGATTACACGATGCCACAGTTGTGAGATCAGACTCTTTGCCACACAGGAAATGAACACCAACAGGAAATGAGTGCAAGCAGTCTTTTTTTTTCTTTCTTTTTTTTTTCCTCCCCAAGAACTGTTCCTGGAAGATCTTCTGACAACGGCATACACACACACACACACACACACACACCTCATCGATGTTTCCTTTCATCTCCTCTGCCCTGCCAGCGAAAAACAGGAAGATTGCTCCCTGTGCAGAAAAAGAGAGAGAAATGCTTTTTAAGGTTACTGCTCCTGCACCAGCCACCTTTTTGCAAGGCGATTCCCAGTGCTCTCAAACGGCATTCCCACGAATTTGTACACGGTGTCGCGAAGAGTGCCAAGTTTGTTCTGTGGGATGGGCGGGCCTGTAATACTGACTGTCGTCTGCATTTTCAGTTCGTTACTGAGCTAATTCATTCGTTGTCACGGTTACACAGAAAACACACAAACGGTTTTCAGGCAATTTTGTAGCAAGCTATGATGCGTCACATTTTGGTGAAAATCGTACCGAAAAATGTGGACATGGGAGTGGAGCGAGTCTGTCAGAATTGGATTTACAAATGGGACCGTTCCTGCTGCTCCGCAATGCTCAACGCACTCAGTTATTCCATTTGTCTTTTATTCACTAACCACATCCTAGCCTGTAGAACTCACATAGAGGAAGAAAAACAATCCATTCAAAAAATAAAATAAAGGTGTTTCATTCCATTTTTTTTGTCTTTGGTCAAGCTGGTTGGGATTTTGCAATCGACTCACCCGTGGATAACGGAGCCGGAATATTTTCAGCAATCTTTCAGCTTCTGCCACATGTCCCTCACCTGTTCCTGAGAGAGAGAGAAAAAACAGCTTACAGCTCGCACAGCAGGAGCAAGTGGATGGGTCAGACTTCTGAGGAGTGGATGGAGAGGAGCCATACCGAGTATGAATGTGAGAAAGGTGTAATAACAAAGCAGGAGCAGAACACACAGCATGGAGCGCAGGTTCGGCGCTGTCGCACCGTCGTCAAGCAGGGACAAACCGTAATCCTGAAACAACGTACGTGGATGAGGTCACCGCGCGGTCGACGTACAGCGGGTGCATGCGTGCGCAGGACACGACGGCTCACCTACCTTGTCTCCCGAGAAGCCCGCAAACTCTAAGAGTTTTAGTATCCGTGGCGGAAATAAAGAGAGCGTCTAAAGAAAATGACAGAAAATAACATTTTGAGCTGTAAAATACATGCGCGAGCTCTGAGCATAGTCGAGTGACATCGTACCAAATTAAACGCTCCGATTCCAAAAGAAATGCCGCCCTCTAAGTGAGTGTGGCTGGGTCCTTTCAAACAGCTTTGGGATTTGACGTAGGAATGCAATTCTCTGGAAGACAAAAGTGAACAACCTCAGAAAACGGCACACGGCAGCCTCGAGCGAAAGCCGCAGACAAAATTCTACAATCGGGAATACGACCGTTCGTACTGTGCAAGGCAACCGTGTAACCTCGTTCGTCACAACCTCCTCTCCTTGATTTTTTTTTTTGGATTGATGAAATCTTTCACACGATTGAATAACAGCGATTAAAGAAACTGTTGACGCCAAGGGGTGCCCAATACGTCTCATTCAAAGAAGCATTTTAAAACGGTACATGTGCGCACGATAGTTTCGGCACTTAACATGCCTCCGCGTCAGGTCTCGGCTATGCTAGGCAGTGATTCCCCTTTTCACCAACTTTTGCATCTACTTTTTTTTTTCTGTTTCGGTCACGTCGGGGGCCGTTACGGCCCTTGCTCATGATGGCATACGTGCGTACGCGGCAAGTTTTTTTTTGCTTGGGTCAAAAAAGTTTGGGCGCCACTGGTTTCCACGATATGACGCCCCCTTGCAATCATTCATCAACAAGAGTATGAAGAAATGAGACGAGACCTCCTTCACTTAGCATCTTATTCCACCACATTTTGTCCCCTCAGCCCATAATTCACAGTTGCATTGCACATATTCCAGATGCACATCAAATGTACGTACCGCACGCAAAAGCTACTTACTTGTAAATCAGGTAACTGTTTCGTACTTTGATCCCACCTTTGATAAAACTCACCATGTTCTCATCCTGCCAAGAAATATTCGCTGCTGTCATTTGGCTCGATAAGTTCAAGGACTTTTTTTTTTTTTGGCGCTAAATAGGATACATGCAGACTTCAGTGCGGTGTGTCACGGTGGCATACCTGTAGGAAAGTGAGAGCGGCTCTTTGGAGTTGGCATTCTGCGTAACACACTTCAGCATGGAGCTGCTCTGCACATGCACGGGAGAACATCGTACCGTCATAAACAGAATCGTGAGCCGAGAAAGACATTCTAAACAACCTCATATGCCACCTTTCAAAAGTTTGAGGGTCAGGAACTGGACCGCATCTTCAAAAATGAATTAACGTTTACCTTCAGTGAGTGGCTCCCCCGTTGACTTCCCTAAATTTGGAGATTTACGGCGGAACCTGCAAGAATGTCAGCGTATCAACATTAGAACTGCAGTCATGTTGTGTCGCGTGCTCTACAAGCGCCGATTGGTCGACGTTACTTGAGATTGAATAAACCCACCTCTGACAGAGATCCTGAGCACTCTTCATGGTCGCTCCGGCGTCGCAGATGTCATCGTGCTGGAAAGTCATCATGGCCTGCATTTCCAGGACCGTGGCATAGATGAGAGCGTGGTACATGCTCTCATCCACTCTGCATCGGAAAAAGCGACGTCAGCATTCAGCAGGCACGCCGAGGCAGAACGTGGACAAGCCGTCACGGTCAATGAGCAACTCACAAGAACAAACTCATGCGTGTTCATGTCCGATCCAGAGATCAGCGTTCCGCTTGGTGTCATTTTAGCGGTTAAAAGTCATCGAGCTCAAATTTTTTTCAGCGCTTAGCCGCGAGGGTAAGCTGGAGCCTATTTCAGATTTTTTTTAGGGGGGGGCAAGCTGTGGGTTTCACTCCGAATGGGTTGGTCGAGGTTAGTGAAACCTTGTTTGAAACTTGAAGGCGTCTCACCAGGGCTACTACCTCGCAGCACGAATGTTGATTTAACAGGGCTGCCATTTTTTGACTGTTGAAACAGTCCGACCTCGGGCGTCAGCTTCAGCAAACACACAATATCCTGGAGCATAGAAGCTTACCTGAGCTCCGCTTGTACACCGCGAATCATCTAATAAATCGCACATTGCTTCATAGTTGACTGTTCCCAGCAGCACCTGTGGCCGAAACGACCGACCTCTTCTTCTGATACATATATCATGTATATAACTCCCAACCCAAAGTCAGACACTAAAAACATAAAAATCGGTTTTTGTTTTACTTTGAACGCAGCCTCTCCATACTCTCATTGAAGTGATTGTTTAGGAAGAGATCCAGGGCCTCCATACACTCATCCAGGCTTTCTTCGAGGGTCATCGGGGATGAGTTGCTAAAAGAGATAAAAAAGTGGGACATAAGGACGGGTAATATGAACTTGACTTATAATTGTGCGCAAAATGATACAGGATTGTCTGCGTGAACGTTTTGGCTCAACGACCGCTGAGCATTCAAACAGTGACCTTGACTCAATTACGTTCAAATGCAAAATTCTTGGAATGATGACATCTTTCCCTTTATGCTGAACGGGGTCAGGCAGAGGTGCGGGAGCCTATCCCAGCTGACTTCGGGCGGAAGGAATTATGTCAGTCGGACTGAAACCAACGTCTGCATTCATCCATATGAAATATCGAGGAAGGCCACGCACATGGGGGTCACGTGAAGTCCCCGCACTGTTTTACACAGAACATACGGTAACACAACAACATTTTTGGAGGCATAGAAACGCCCGTCGAAAGTGTTTAAATTGGTGTTTTACCTGACAAGAGGCATGCGTGAAAGAAAAGACTGACTTCCAGATGAGCAGGAAACAGTCTTTTGTGGTTAAGGGTTATTTAAACAACTGCTCGGACAACTTTTTTCTTTTTGTACTTGCGCGAGTTAGCGTGTCTAAATGCCGCGACTATTTCACAAAAGCAAATCAAGTCGAACTGTCGCGTTTTTTTTGTTTTTTTTTTTTTACTTTTTATTTTGGGTTGTACTCACTTGTGAGCAGCATTGTCGTCTTTTCCATTGGACATGTTCTCTGTCAGCTGCTACACCTGCTCGGACCTGTTGCAGTTCTCACACACCAGAGCCAACCGAGGCGCATTGACGACTATCCGCACCTTAAAACTGAGCTCCCGAGTGGGTCCGAACGCTGTCCGAGTGTTGGCATTTATTTCTTCAGTTTCCTGTTGAATCGGTAAGTCGGGAGTACAGGTATTCAGCGGTGTGCCTGAAAGCGAAAAGAGTGTCGCACTTGACTCCTCCTCTGCTTCCCATCGGCACGCAAAGTTTGAGGAAGGCAGAGGGAAGGAGGAAAAAACACCCGACTGTCGAACGTGCACAACGACGTCACCGATCGCCACCGCGGTCCGGTCCAACCGGCCCGCCGTACGGGCACGACATTGGCGGAGGCGTGCGACATTCTGACACTGCCTGTCAACTGTATTAGTAGTAGTATAGTTACGAGAAACATTTTGTATGCACGTAGAAGGGGCAAATGTGGTGTGTGGTGTAAGTGAAGTAGCCGACTCGGTTTTTTTTGTTGTTGTTTTGCTCACTTTTGCACCGCCCAAACACGACATCCAGACTCGAGGCAGGGTTTCACACCCATTCATTCATATTTGTCTGTATGACGTGTAGTTGAAATATCAATTTGAAATATGTCAAATATATTCTACGCGTATGGAAATATGGACGGTCTAAAACGCTTATTGTGTGTAAAAAACAAACAAACAAAAAAAGCTAACGGTGGCCTAAAGTTAGAAAACTACGACTAATCACCACCCAAATCCACATGCACAACACCACCTACGTCCACTTCAAGCTCTGAAAATATCAACGCAATTGCCGCAGTAATTTAGATTTTATAGGCCATAAGCTTTTTCCTCCCAATGTGCGTTCACTGAAGAGAAAACCCTTATGGTGGCTTAATGTTAGAAAACTAAGACCAATCACCACCAAACTTCCCGTGCGTAGCTCTACCCATGCCTACACCAATCTCTGAAAATATCAATGGCGATTGGTCCAATAGTTTTCTAACATTCAGCCACGTTAAGCTTTTTCTCAAACTGTGAATCTCTACAATCTCTTGTCACTTTTATCAAAGTGAATGGCGTTGGAGACACAAACAACTCGTTGCTCCTCGAGACAGGGCCGGAGTGGAACTCAAGGCCGTCAGGGGCGACAAGAGCCTCACTAGCACCATCTGCTGGACACCTCTGCATATGAAGACTTAAAAAAGTTTTCAATTTTATTCCATTTTAGTTCTGTGGTCCGTGCTTACCATTGATTTTCTATTTCAAATCGGTGATTCTCAATTATTTCCCCATTAAAATAGCTGGATGTGCATATTTCTTCTGGAGGAGGAACAGGAAGTGAAGCAAAGCACCGCCAGCTCGGAGCCTCCGTTTACCGAATCAGGCAATAGGCTTGCACACTCACGCAAGAGACCTCGCTGTTTGTCTTTCTATCGCCAATACACATGTTTCATCACATATGTAGTGCGAATGGCAAAATTCAGCAGTCTGTGAAGTATTTTTTATGAGCGTGTGTGCCATATTTAATCAGTCTTACGACCAGAAAAGCGAACTGAGGTGCACAGTGGAGTCCGTATGTACGGTGTCTCAGCCAGCATGTGGCAGTGTTGCGCTCCATTGGCGCAATGTCAAGAAGATGCCCATCGACATAGCTAACTAGAGCACACCTTGGGTGGCTAATGACCTGCAAACTTAGCCGCCATCTTGAAGTCCCTGGCGACATCTTCCAGCCCATCAAAACCACCACCTTGACCCAAAGTGAAGGTAGACTCTGCAGTCAAAATGGCTATTTCAAACCAATATTTTTTTTTTTTTTTTTGCCAATCCAATTTTTCACAATGGGTCGCCAATTTGACACAAAATGAGTGTAGCCTGTGCAGTCAAAATGGCGAGGTGGAACATTTGAAAGCAGTTCTTTTCAAATTTTTCAAAACAATCATAATTTATTGTCAAACAACCGTGACTACCGAGATTAATAAACTCCATCTCGATGTATCACATGACATTGACATCGATCCGTGCGTGTCACACGGCTGTAACACGGCTCTTAATAGTGGCACATGTAAATGGTGGATTGGAATGGATCACGTCACATGTAAACGGTTGACCAGAAAATTTTCAGTGAGAACGACAATAAAGTCTCCATGTATGTAACGCCAGTTTTGAATCGATGACTCAGGCAAACTTTATATTGACAACACACAAGGATTTGTGACCGCACAGACTTTGGGGTGGGAAATGTTCTCCGTTGATGAGTGTTGGACATGGCAATTTATCAAGCAAATTGCTTGGAAAAAAATCTTTCTAAACACATCCAACACCACAGCATGAGACATAGGACAATGGTCATTTAGCATGCTTTTATTTTGAAGGTCAGACATTACAGGGTCACTGATTGGTCGGTGTGTACCCCGTTTACAAAGGCACGATCACCAGACAAAAGTGATTTCATGACGACAAAGTGCAGGTTTTCGTGGCAACTTGTATACAAAATACAACCCCCCCCCCACACACACACACAAAACTCTGTGACCGAATGTGTCTTCCTCTTCTATGTAAATTACATGCTTTGCTCGCGCTTTCACCCCATCATTAAGTTTCAAACACAACTAATATTTGTTAGTCATCATTTTAAATTAAACCGTAAATCTATTTTATTATGACAATATTAATCATCACGTAATTCAGTCTTGTGTGTCAAAGGCCGTAAAACACTCTGTCACATTAAATAATCACTGGCGTAAATTTGCAGTATCATTGATAAATGGTCTATTCACGGAAACTCATTTCTCTTCATCGTGCTTAAAATAGGCTTGTTAGGCTGCCGCTTTACCTTCTGATCAAGCAGATTAGACATTTATGTACAAATATAAGCAGTCTTTTTTTAAACAGGCAATATGGTAAAGTACCGTAGAATTTGTCCGGGGATTAAGATGATCCTTTCGGAGTTGCTGTCAGGCTGACCTTGAATCTATCTTGCAGTAAAGGATCATGGAAACAGTCATGGCACATAACTGCGGAGAATACAGAGAATACACTGTCGGTAAGAAGAGCAAATGCAACGGCAAATATGATTCACTCTTGAGGTAGGGCTCTTTTAAAGGGCCTTTGCACAAAGTTGTCCCGTACAGTGCTTATTTTTAAACAAAAATTGAGAAAAAAGAAGATACCCAGGCCAGAATTTGAACACCCCTGAGGTTAAATGATATCCGACCTGTAATGAGCTACATTCAGAAAAAAGTACATTTACCGCCGAATGAATGGGACAGAATCTTACACCTTTGAGGGCAATGTGCATCATTTTGATTTGAGCTGCCCAGTAAAATCTTTCCGCACTTATAAACACCTCTTTTATACGTGTGTTACATTTAAAAAAACAAAAACAACAACAATCTGATTCCTCGATGAGGAGTGTCCGTACCTCAAGGGCTGCAATTCCCAGTGCCACAGCTACAATTGCCACCGTGTTGTCATTAATCAGTTGCGTGAATTTTTCAAAGCAACCCGGGATTGCCTGCGAAGAGTACAGGGTAGAGGTCAAAGCATGACTGGCTATGACTGCGGGTGTTATTCCCCCCCC